AACAGAGATGAGTGGGGAGATGTACAACGCTCCGGTTTTAAGCGATACCAAAAGCATGGTGCTAAATCGTAGCGGCGAGTCCGGGAGTAGGATTTTGTGATCATCGCCTCTGTCGACGTTACAGATATCGCGTAGCCGCACGGGTCATGATCATCGTTCCAGCCGATATTGCAGTCAGCGAAAATGAATGGATTGTTCGGTGGTGGGGAAAAAGTTACCGGCCCTCACAAACCATTCTTGACAAACAGGCAGAACAGCAAGGTCTTCCGTCCAACCGAACCCTAAACGTTTGTATGGACGTAATGCGCAAACAAATGTGTATATCCAAATAAATTTCAAAGTTATAAAAAATGCATAGAAATATTGGTTTTCACTCTTTACCTCTTATCATGCCGAAAATGAACATAAAAAAATGAATGGCGAAATTCGTTTTTTTTTTTATTTTACTACAAAAATTGTTCAAGATTCCTCTCTTTTAATCTTTCTACGTTGCCCAAACTTTATTTTAAGTATATATATATTTTTTTAAATTTTATCTGTGACAGAATCGACTAATATTTTAAATGCCCGCTCGTGCCACGCGACCGGCGACTCGAGCGATTGCGGATCCTCTCTCGCTGAGGGGTCTGCTATTGCTGTTACTGCTGCCGCTGGTTCTTATAATCTTATAAATACTTTTTTATTTGCAATCTTCAGTTCCAGCGCCCACTGTAAACTCAATAAGATTTACTATGAGAAAATAATTAGCTGACTTCGTTACCTGGAATCAATAATCTTGAGAAGTAAATATGGAAATGAGCATTATCTCTGTCTGTAATTGATCGTCCACGTGGAGAAGATCTAAAAGTAAGAGAAATTGAGAAAAGGACAATTGGGAAGAATAGTATATAGGTCTATTGAGATCACTTACTGGCGACTTCAACACAACACTCTAGGAATCTGACGGATCGAGTCTGAGCGGGCATCTGCAACAATGTTGCTAACTATCGTGCGACTAGCAATACACATTGGGGCCTGCAGCGTCAGGTCGTTCACAGTCGTACAGGCAGCAGCATCATGGTAAGTAGTTCTTTAATAGTTATAAGGAAACAAGACGCAACGCG